TGAAGTCCCGGCCAGAGCAATCGGGCAAGAAAAGGAAATAAAGGCATCTGAATTGGGAATGAAGAAGTAAAACTGTCATTATTTGCAAAATAATAAATAGAATGAAGTTGCACGGTACAAAAATCAATGTACAAAAATCAGTTGTTTCTATGCACTAAAACGAATTATCAGAAAGAGCAATGAAGAAAACAATCCCATTTACAATAGCAACAGAAAGAATAAAATACCTACGAATACATCTAACCAAGGAGGTGGAAAAACCTGTACACTGACAACTACAAGACTTGTTGAAAGAAAGTGAAGAAGACACAATGAAATGGAAGGATATTCTGTGTTCATGGATTTGAAGAATTAAATTTGTTAAAATGTCCATACTACCCAAAGCAATCTATAGATTCAATACAATCCCTATTAAAATACCAATGACATATTTCACAGAACTGGAACAAATCATCCTAAAATTTGTATGGAACCACAAAAGATCCTCATTAGCCAAAACAATCTTGAGAAAAAAAGGACCAAGCCTAAGGTATCACACTCCCGACTCTGAAGTATACTACAAAACTACAATAATCAAAACAGCACGGTATTGGAAGAAAAGCACACACATGGATCAATGGAACAGAATAGAGAGTCCAGGAAAAAACCCACATATAGACGGGCAACTAATTCTTGACAAAGGAGCCAAGAACATACAATGGAAAAAGGGCAGTCTCTTCAGTAAGTGGTGTTGAAAAAATTGGACAGCTACCTTCAAAAGAATGAAACTAGACTGACACCACACACAAAAATTAGCTCCGCATGGAAAGAAAGCATACAAGAAAACAAAGGCGCGAAGCTTCTTGACATTGGTCTTAGTGGTGTTTCTGTAAATTTGACTCCAACGGCAAAGGAAACAAAAACAGACAATTGGGACTCCATCAAACTAAAATGTTTCTGCAGAGCAAAGAAACCCATCAACAAAATAAAAAGGCAACCAACCAAATGGGAGAAGATACTTGCAAGTGGTATTTCTGAAAGGGTTTAATATGGAAAAAGCACAAAGAACGCATACAATTCAATAACAAAAAAACAATCCCAATTAAAAAATGGGCAGAAGTTCTGAATAGGCATTTCCCCAAGGAAGACACAGAGATGGACAACAAGCACACGAAAACATACTCAGTATCACTGATTATCAGTGAAATGCAAATCAAAACCACAATAAGTCACTTTACACCTGTCAGAATGGCCATCATCAAAAAGACAAAAGAAAGAAGTGTTGGCAAAGACATGGGGAAAAGGGAACCCTCATGCACTGCTGATGGAAGCTGTAAATTAGTGCAGCCACTATGGAAAACAGTATGGAGGTTCCTCAAAAAATTAAAAATAGAACTACATTAGGACCCAGCAATCCCACTTCTGGGTATTTATTCAAGGAAGTCCAAAACACTAATTCAAAAAGATACCTGCACCCCTATGTTCACTGCAGCATTATTCACAATAGTCAAGACATGGAAGCAACCTGGGTGTCCATCAACAGACGACTGGATACAGAGGAGGTGGTGCATTTATACAATAGAGTGCTGCTCAGTCATAAAAAGAATGGAATCTTGACATCTGCAACAGCATGGATGTACCTAGAGGGTATTGTGCTCAGTGAAATAGGTCAGAGAAAGACAAATATTATATGATCTCATTTATCTGTGGAATATAGAAATAAAATGAACAAATAAAACAAAGCCAAACTCACAGATACGAAGAACAGAATGTGGTTACCCCAGCACAGGGGTCAGCAAACTGTGGCTCATGAGCCACATGGTGGCTCTTTGGGTACGTTTTGTCTCAAAAGTTTGCCGACCCCTGGAAGAGCCAATCCTGTCCCTCACAATTTAAAAATTATTCGAGGGCCGGCTGAGTGGTGCGTTGGTTAAGAGCTGGCTTGGGACGCCAGAGGGCCCCAGTTTGGATCCCACATATGAGGGCCAGTGACACTGCCCTCCACAGCTAAGATGCTGAACAACAGCTCAACCTGGAGCTGGGCTGCTGGGAGTCACCGGCGACGGCAGGTGGGTTGCCATAAGCTACCGAGTGTAGCCAGCAGCCAGCGTGAGCGGCCAGCAGCTGCTGTGAGCAGCCTGTCCAGAAGCCGGTGACTGATCTGCCTCACCCGGGAAGAGCGCAATGATGGTGCCAACTTGGGCCAGTGAAGCAACGTCCTCCACAACTAGACTGAAGAACAAAACGACAGCAACTTGTCTGCCCCTTTCCCCAATTCCCCAATAAAAAAAATCTTAAAAAAAAAAAATTATTCGAGAGCCATAAATATATTTTTACGTGATCACCATTAAAAGTTTTATAAATGAAACTATGATAATTTTATTTTTATTTTCAATTTTACTTCAGAGGCTCACGAGCCACTGTTTGCTGACCCCTGGGGGCTCTTCCATCTCAAAAGTTTGCCGACCCCTGCCCCAGCAGAAGCAGGTGGGGGGCAAAGTGGGTCAAATGTAAGGTGACAGAAGGAGGCTAGCGAGCTCACTATAGTGCGCACAGATGTCGGATTATAATGTACACCTGGAATTTACACTTTATTATGAACCACTGTCACCTCAATAAATTTAATTTTTAAAAATTGTGTGTATCAAGTGAAGAAAGACAGAGGCACGTCAAGTCTCAGGGATAAGCAACACCTCACGAATGCTCAGTGACACTGGGCTCAGTCACCCCAGAACATGACATGCTCCTTTAGGAAAAGGTCACCAGATCCACAGGCTTGCAGAGAATACGTGACTTGAGGCTTTCTTTAAAAATGTCTTCATCCAGGCCAGCCAAGTGGCTCGGTTGGTTAAGAGCTTGCTCAAGAGTGCGAGCTCTTGAGCAACAGGGTCGCCGGTTCGAGTCTCACATGGGCCCAAGCTGAGCTGCCGCTGAGCTGCCAACAGGTGGCAGGATGGCCCGGCTAAAAAAAAAAAAACTGTCTTCATTCGGTTTAAGAGACTAACAAGGGTGGGCCATACTCGACTGACCACGAACAAAGATCTCAGAAAGTCCCCGAGGGCAGGAAGACTGGATTTCAGTGAAGTCAGGCCTGGCCAGTCAAGGAACCCCCTTGAGGTGAAGAGGACCTGCAAAGCAGTCACAAAAATGCACGCGAGTGTCTGACTTAACAGATTACTAATAAGCCAACAGGCCTGGAAACGAACTCCCTCCTCGTCCTGGTGGAGAAAGACAGGTCGAAAGAGACAAGGTGACTGCCCACTGCCTCCAGCACCACCAAAGGGACAGAGCCACACGGCCACTCAGCCTCCCACAAGAGGCGGCAGCTGCCCATCGCGTGGGACGCGCAGCCCACACTTCTCCAGGCTGTGCCCAATTCCTTCTGTCTCGTCCTCCTCCAGCTGCCTGGGCGTGAAGGGGAAACAAGCTGTGGTCCAGCCATATGACAGACTGCCAGCCAGCAATGAAGACGGACGGGTTCGCACATGGATGCATCTCAAAAGAACTATGCTGAGTGAATTGAAAATACCAGGTAAAAAGAGGATATGCCACGTGAGTCCACCTTCATCAGTTCTAGAGGGTGCAGGGTTGCCGGTGGTTATAAAGGAAGATGAGAAAACTTCTGGTGAGGATACAAATTTTCGATATCTTGATCGGTGATAGTTTCCTGGGTGTATACACATATCAAAACTGATCAAGCTGTACTTCTATATAAGTACTTAAACCTAAGTATATGTATACGTTTACTTGTAGAAAGAAATTAAAAAGTGAATGTAATCTGGTGAATTTGACGTCCCCAGGAGCTACACCCCCGTGGAGGGTTCTGACCATGGACTGCACCCTGGAGGAAAGGAACAACTCCCGGCCATCTCAGTGAGGCCTCCTGGGCGCCACGACGGCCACTGAGTGCCCGTCCACTGTGTGCCCCAACAAGGCCAATGGCAGGTCTCTGCAGGAGCACCCCGAATGACCCACGAGGAAGAAAAGGCTGAGAGAGGTTCAACAAGGTGTCCTGGGCCGCAGATCACAGGCCATGGAGCCGAGGTGGAACACGAGTCCAGGTCACGCCGGGCAGATGGAGAGCCTGCGTGTTCATCGCCACCCCTCAGATCGCTATGAAACGCACCCTGGGCAGAGGAACTCGCCACTGTAAAGCTAATCAACAGTCACGTTGCTCGTACATCAAGGACTGCAGGACTGGCTCTCAACAGGGACACTGCGTTTGCTTCTGGAAGATACAGGTCTGCTGATTAATCAGACTGGGGCACATATTTATGCACAAATCTCCAGGAACAGCAAACACCAGGCCCCGCCTCCAGCGCTGCAAAACCTGCCATCACACAGACGTCTGGCTGGCTGAGCTGCCAGGCGGAAGGCGGTCAGAGTTCAGTGCCTCCTTACGTATGTGGCTTGTTCCTTGAAGATCCATCGGGTCAGTGCTACCTGGTCCTCTGGGCCATGACGCACACGAGGCACCACGAGGCAACCACGTTTAATTCAAACACAAAATGGTAAACTCAAACCAAATCAGAAAGCAGGGCCGAGTTCCCAAGATAGTGATTTGGATCGAGCCTCAAAGATGCAAAGGCCAGAGCCGCCTGCCCTAAGGATCACGGCAACACACGGCACGTCCTTCCGCAGTCTGCAAGAAAAGGCCCCCAGGAGACAGAGCAAACCCTCTCCGGGTCTAAGGCACCTTACACACGCCCAAGTCCTTAGGAACGGGCGGACCCATCGTTTTCTGCCTCGAACCCTAAAGAATCACAGAATGTGTGTAATTTACAGAACAGTCCTACACACACAAAAACAATTTAAAAACCGCAGCAGTAGGTGCACGGGAGCCAAAACGCCGTGACCCACTGCCGGCCGCGGGAAGCCGGCCTCTCTAGGACCCACTGTAAAAAGGCCGGGAGCTCGGCACGACTCGTGCCGGGACCGGCGGGCTCCTGGGGTCCTCTCCCCCTCGCGTCGGACCCACGCGAAGCCCGTGCATCCTCAAAGCCCACGCCGTCCGGACTCACCGCGTTTCGGCAGCTCCCCAGCCACACGTGGCCAACACTGGGACAAGACACGCGGGGGTAGAAAACAGCCGCGTTAGTCACGGAGCGCCGTGCGGGAGAGCAAGGGCCACGGAAAAAGAAACACGCTGGACCCTCACGCCGCGACTCTGGGTGGGAGGAAACGTGAGCCTGCGCGTGGGGGTTTCGTGCCGAACGGGAGTCTGCGCAGCCCGGCCCGGCCATCGGGGGTCCGCCCACGGGGGTCCGGCCACAGGGCTTGGCAGTGGGCCGCTCAGGGACAGGGAGACGCCGGACTTGCAGCGGAGGCCCGGCCGGGGAGCCCACGGGGAGGCCCGGGCCGCGGCCAGGGTCAGGGCCAAGTCCGCAGCCCTCCGCCCGGCCGCCTCACGGCCGCCCGCTCCGACCGCCGCGGCGACGGGCAGCGGCGCGGGCCAACCGGGACGCGGGGCGGCGNCGCCTCACGGCCGCCCGCTCCGACCGCCGCGGCGACGGGCAGCGGCGCGGGCCAACCGGGACGCGGGGCGGCGCGGCGCGGCCAATGGGAGGCGGCAGGGGGCGGGGCGCCGCGCTCGGCGGCCGGGCGGAAAGCCCTGGAAGGCGTCGGCCGGGCTCGGGGCTACCTGAAGAAGAGGGTCCGGTACATCTGGTGCGCCTCGTAGTAGTCGCCCTTCTCGACGCTGGCGCGCAGCTTGCCCTCCACGCGCTGGACGCCACCGCGGTTGCGGGCGCCGTTCCGGGCGCTCTCCTGCTCGGCCATCGCCGCCGCCGCCATCGGGCCGGCGCTCCGCGCAGGGCTGACGCTGTCGCAGGCGCGGTCGGTCGGCAGCGCCTCGCGGCTTCCGTCCCGGCGGCCGCCTGACGTCCTCTACGGTGGCCCGCAAGGAGTCGCGCTCAGTTGGGGCGTGCGCGCCGGCGGGCGGCCACGTGACCGCGGGGTGGGGCTGCAGAGGGATGCCACGTGACTGCGGAAGGTTCGGCCTGCCGACGGCACGTGACCTCGAGCGCTCAGGGGCGCCCGGAGGTCACGTGGCCGCAGCGGGCGCGCGGACGCCACAATGGCGGTGGCACGTGAGGGCGGGGCGCTCCTGCCCGAGGGCGTCCTGGAGGGTGGCCGGCAGCTTAGCGGCTGCGGTCTCAGCGGCCATTGACATATTTAACGGTTTTTAAATAGCGTTTTAACCATTTCCGCGGCCTCTCGCAGCCCAAAGGCCACACGTGGTGTGAGCGCGCGCGCCGCTGGGCGATTACAGAACCAGGTCCTGACCAGGCCGGGATCGGGGACTCCGAGGTTAAGGCCCGGCGGACGGGCTCCGCGCCCTTCGGGGAGCGCCCGGAGCCCCGGCCGGCGTGAGGCCCCCTGCAGGCGCGCAGGTGGCACTGTCGGCCCCGGGGCAAGGGGACGCGGAGCCCGCGAGCCGCTGACCGGTGACCCGCGGGCCCGTCCGTGCGCAGGCAGAACCCAGAGCAGTGTAGCAGGCGCTTTAGTGCGCGGCCGCCTGGCTGCTGTTGATCATTGGAGCAAGTGTGTTGACCGAGCCGTCCTTTGTGTAAAAACGGGCGGGACGCGCCTGCTGCCCGGGTAAAACGCCCGGTAACTGGGTGTCCTTGAAAGCCAGCGGGCGGGGCGCGGAGGCGGCGGGGGCCTGGGCAGCCTGTGCGGTCTCCCACGACCGTGGCGCCTGTCCAGTCCTGAGCCTGACCCTGGCGCCCCTGTCCCCAGCCTCCGCTGTCACCTCCCGACGGAGCCGGCTCCAGCCACTTGTCCGCCTCTTTCCGGACTGCTGCTTCCCCCACGTGGCTCCTGGAGAAAGGGCCTCACCAAGGGACCGTTAGCTCGGGGCCCTCCACGCGGCAGGCATTCGATACACGTGCGCTGGTTCCACAGATCCTGGGTCAGGCTGGAAAACGAGCTGGTGCCACCGCCGGTCGTAACAAGGTCCCGTGCTGGGAATGTTCCTCTGAGGACATCCGCCGCCTCTCTTCCTAACTTTCTCCTCCTCCAGTCTGTGGTCCAGGCGGACTTCCCTACAGAGGAGGTGCCCTGGGAAAGGCAAGGGACCTGGGTAAAGCTGGGGGACCTCTGAGGACAGGTGCCGTGGAGTCTCGTGACACACAATGTGGCAGAAAAGAGCATGCAGATCTAGTCGTCCCTCCCCCACAGGCCCAGGCAGAAACAAAGCAAGCGGAGAAAAGAAATATACTGTTTATTACTCATCTGAAATAGCACATGCATTTTAAAAATTAAAACTCTTTATTTAAACATTTCAATAGCATCTTATCAATTTGGTGGCAGCAAAAGAAGCACTACCAAAGACAAATATTTTGAAAAGCATTTACAAAAATACATTGCACAAAGTCCTATCTTGCATCTTTAAAAATAAATTAATATTCAAAATATTTCCAACCCAACTCCCAAATTGTTTTACACAGGAAATTTTGATTTATACATTTATCCTGTAATATATGAAACATCTGTGTACACTGTATCCAACTTAACTGCATAGGCATTAGTTTCAATTCTAGAGTGAAAAAAATGCTACTTTATGTAGTTTTTGTGTATTTGAGGACTGTTGTGCAATATACGTAAAACTTCAGAAAACCAGTCAGCACTGTCATTTTTTCTTTTTCTGAAAATACAACATTCATGGTACACCAAGAAGCTGTCTTAACCCAATAAAACTTAAATAATTTTAAGGTTAAAACATCCATAACATTTTCAGTGCCTCGTGGATATCTCATTTATAAAGTCTGCTCAGTAAAACAATCTCAATATTAAATATTAATTATAACCAAAATGAGAGTCACAGGAATTAAGTGCCAATGGCCGATGGCCGCACGGAAGGCAGGTGCCAACCAGAGGCAGCAGGACGTGCTGCTGTAGGACGCCCTGGCCTGGGGACCTGACCTCGCTGCCGCCTCCTGATACCGTCCGTGGGATGATGACAGCGTAGCCGCCGTGAGACTGGGAGCACGTTAGTGCTTGCTTGTCAGCAAAATCCAAAGGGAAACCTGAAAACACCCAAAAGGCTGGATTTCTTGGTTCCTATTTGTAGTGAGAGGTGAAAACTCCAGGGTGATCCCAATGGGACGAGCCTCGTGGAGGAGACCTGAGAACTCTATGTGCCGGCTTCGATCCAGACCGTCCCCTTTCCAATCAGACCCACTTCAACCTACAACAAAACAATACTCTCCCGTGTTCCTGAATGGAAATTAGCACGCCGACTCCAGACTCTGAAAATCTTTCTAAGAAGTAGAGCAAACTAGCAGAAAAACCCATTTTAGTCTTGTTCCCACCTGGTGACTTCCAGTAAATGCCGGTACTGAATAAAGGAAAAGCCCTACCCTAAGGGAAAGAGTTCAGAGCTTTAAAATTTGGTGACACGGTTTCTCCCTGAAAGAAATGTGTGCTGGACTGAAAAGATAAAACATGTTTGCCCCCAGAAGTCCTTCAAAGGGGCCACACTGAAAGCGTCAAGAACACTTCAAACCTTGTAACTTCATTTGCTTTGTTCCTGACATCAAGAAAATACAAATATAAAGAGCTTTATGTTTAAACACAACCCCCCCCCCAAAACAAAGTAGGTGTCTTTGAACCATACATTCAGGTGCGTTTCCGAGACGGCCTCTGGCCACGCACGTCTGTACACCAGGCACTCGGCACGGTTCTGCCGGTGGCCAGTGCTGCCTGCTTCCTGTCCCGGTCCTGCTGCCCGCACTGACTGACGATTATTTACAGACGACGTGATGCCGAGACTCCCTCAGCCCCTTCAGGAAGGATCCAGTGTTTCGGTCTGTCCCAGTATATACAAAATGTACAAGAACGGCGTGGCCCATCTTTACTTGATGGGCTCTCCGTGTACTCTGAACCGATAGAGACACGTGTATTCGGGATGGCCCCAGTTAGAAAAAATGCGAAGTTCCACTATTTGGAATGCTCGTTCAGGTCTTTTCTGAAATCAAAGGGGAGAAAAAAATCCACACTTATCATACGAACACCCCCAAACCCAGTCACTTCCCCAACATGATGCCTGAGAGTAAGTAGCCAAGCTGGTATTTAAGTTTTTCCACAAGCACTGAGTCACCTGTAACAGGGCACAAAGCTCATGACCAGCCCCAGACTAACTTTCAGTTTCAGGACGTGACACATTTATGGGGAGCAAAATACATACTACAAAAGGATCGTCCAGGGCACAAGCTAGGGGTTCAGGTTCACTTTTCTCACCAGCTGGCCCACGGGCACTACTTTGGGCGGTTTTGTTAACGTCGACCGATCCTGCTCACACCCGCGGGGGAGGGGGGGGTACGGGCCACGACTCAGGGTGCAGGGACTCACCGGCACGTGGAACATCTGCAGGGACTCCCCTTCCTGATCGTAGGTGAACTGGCCCAGCAGCTGCCCTTCCTCCTCATACTCGCTCTCCAGGCCCTGAAAGCAAAACCACATGGTCACTGAGCGCACGAGGACTGCCTCCCTTGGTCCTGACAGGGAAGCGGCGCCTCTGCTGCACGCCGCGCCTGCCCTGAGGGCTGCTGGGGCTGCGCCCTTCGCTCAGGCTCTGCTCAGGGCTCCACACGAGTCCCACGCCCGGGAGGCAGGCACTGTCCCTCCCGAGTCAGAGATGCGCGGAGGAGCGAGCGGCCTGCAGGCCACACTGCTGCCCACGGGGCTCCACAGTGCGAGCGCGAGGGGACAGGTGGACGGCAGGCCCAGAGGCCACCTGGTGTGGAGAGACGGGGAGGGCAGTTCTGAGCAGGGAGGAGATGCTTTGGGAGGTAGAATGAGCTCTGGGGAGCTGGTGGGGCTGCCTGGTGGCGTGAGAGAGCTTGCAGTCGCTGAGCTCGCTCGGGAAGCTGACGAAGGTTAGGAGCTGTGTGTCCTTCACATCCCACCATGGAGGGAGGGGGCGACCTTGCTCACTGCGCCGTGCTTCCCTGTGCTGAGGTCGAGGTCTGTGGGACCCCTGCACCTCGCATGTCCTTTGGTGCCACTGCTCCAGCAGCACTTCTTCACGTTGAGTCTGTGGTTACTAGGCAAGCTCACGGTATTTCCAATTTGTTCATTATTGTGGCATCTGTAACGGTGCCTGTGATCAGTGATGTCCGATACTACTCCAGTGTAACTGTTTTGGGGCGTCACGAATGGTGCCCACAGAGGACGGTGATCTGAATGCACTGATGTCATGGGTTTTGGCGGCTCCACTGACTGGCCGTTCCCCGTCTCTGCCCCTCCGTGGTCCTTGAGACACAATGATCACATAAGGCCGGTTAACAGCCCTGCAGTGGCCTCTCGGTGTTCAAGTGAAAGGGAGAGTCTCACGTCTGTCACTTTAAATCGAAACCTAGAAACGACTAAGCTGAGTGGGGGGGGGCGCGTGGACAGCTGAGAGAGGACAAAAGCCAGGCCTCTTGTGCGAAACAGTCAGCCCCATTGTGAATACAAAAAAAAAAAATCAAAAGCTACTCCAGTGAGCACACGGACGGGAAGAGAGTGAGACAGCCTTACTGCCACCGGAAGGAGGTTTCAGAGGTCTGGAGGGAAGCTCAAACCAGCCAGCACGCTCCCTCAGCCAAAGCCTCTTCCAGAGCAAGGCCCAGACTCTCTTCAGTTCTGTGAGGGCTGAGAGGTGAGGAAGCTACAGAAGGAAAGTTTGTAGCCGGCAGAGGTTGGTTCATGAGGCTTAAGGAGAGAAGCCATGTCCATAACATCAGGTGAAGCACCAAGTTATCCGGAAGGAAGGTCTAGTGAGAGAACTCATGCAGGCGGCTGTGCTAAACCACAGGTTTCCAATGCAGACAAACAGCCCCATATCGGAAGACGGTGCCACCTGGGACGTTCGCGGCTGGACAGCAGCATCAGGGCCTAGCTTCAGAGGGCAGGCCGACTGTCCTGCTAGGGGCTCATGCAGCTGGGACTTTGAGCTGAAGCCAGTGTTCAGATACCAGTGAGGAAGTCCCAGGGCCCTTCGAACGCTGCTAACTTGACCTCTGCCTGTGCTCTGCACATGGAACAAAAGCCTGGATGACAGCACATCTGTTTACAACACGGTTTACTGAGTATCTTAAGCCCATTATTAAGGTGGTGGTCATGCCCACTAACACAACATCCATTCTGCGGCCCATGGACCAAGGAGTCATTTCAAGTCTTACTATTTAAGAAACACATTCCGTAAGGCTACAGCTGCCGGAGACAGTGACCCCTCTCGCGGATCTGGGCCAAGGACACTGAAAGCCTTCTGGAAGGGAGGCACTGCGCTGGAGGTCATGGGGACATGCCTGATGACCCCTGGATGGAGGGGCAGCTCTTCTTACAGATGAGGAAAGACAGTGGTTTCTTGAGGTGGAATCTACCCCTGGTGAGAATGCTGTAAGGTTGCTAAAGTGACAACAAAGGACTCTGAATGTCACATAACCTTAGCTGATGAAGCAGCAGGTCTGAGAGGACTGACTTCAATGCTGACAGGAGTTCTGCTGTGGGTAGAAGGCGGTCAAACAGCCTCGCACGCTACAGAGAAATCGTTCATGAATGTAAGAGTCAGCAGATGCGGCAAATTTCATTGTCATCTTACATTAAGAAATGGCCACGGCCACTCCGGCCTTCAGCAGCGCTCAGCTTCGAGGCCGACCCTCCACCAGCAGGATTAAAACCTCGCTGAAGGCTCAGAGGATGGTCGGCATTTTTCAGCAATAACGTATATTTTTTAGACATAATGCTATAGCACACCAAACTAAGTGTAGTGTGAGCATAACTTTTTATGCCCTGGGTGATCAGAAAGTTCGTGGGGCCACTTTTTGTGACATTGGCTGCACTGCGGTGGCCTGGAACTGACTTGTGGTATCTCTGAGGTCCACCTATGACCAGAAGGAAGTATTGGTGATTATCTGAGTGTCGGTTCATATTGGACAATGACTTTCTGGGTCTAGAAATGCCACGAAGAAATCACAGGTGGTGTGCAGATGTGATTAAATACAAAATCAGGATTGACAGCGGGAAGTGTATCTACAACAGACTCGCTCAGATTAACAAGCTCAAATATTCATAAGGAAACTAAGATCCCAAAAGATAAATGAACGAAAACAAAACTAGAATCTACAAAAAAGGAAACACACATGTGAAATACATGGGAATATAGATTAAAATGTTTTTACCTATCAAGTTAGCGATTTTTTTCGTAAAAAGACTCAATTAGAAAGGGAACTATGACATAGAGAACACTGGTGGGAATGCTAACAACATATGTGATGCGAGGGACTGAAAACGCTCACAGCTCATCACGCCTCATCATGCCCTTATTACGCCCTGGTCACGCCTCGTCACGCCCCATCAACAGTAAATGCCACTTCTGAGTGTCCAGTCTAGGGGCATGACGGAAGATGTGACTATGTCGCACTTATTCTGAAACGTGGAAAGCTGAATTATTCACTAAGAGGAAAAGTGGTACGGGAAATGAAGGTTTAGCTACACAGTGGCATTTTACGCTGTTATTTAAAGATGTGTATAAAGAGTTAACTGCCATGGAAACTATGGTAAATTTTTTTAAGGCAGGAAACAAAATTTTATGAACGGCATTGTCTCAACTATGTTTTTAAAGGGAAAAGGAAGAGACCACAAGCTGCCACCACAAGCAGTGACTTCTCTAGGTGTGGCGATCCTGGGTGTTCTTCGTCCAGCTTCCTTATCCATCTGGAAATTCCACATCACACAGTTGTCAGCGGCCTTTCAGCCCAGCAGACAAGCGAGATGAAGTGAGACTGTCCGGGTCTGGGTCTGGTCCAGCAGGCTTGTGCTGATCCACACAGATCCCACCCAAGGAGTCAC